AGCGAATGATAGGATCCAGTCTTGATACAGTGGAGATTTATATTTTCCCTACGACACAAGCATAAGAAGTGGGGGATGTGAGAGAAGAAATCCAGCTACCTAAGCTTAAAACAGGAGTGTCTCTTGTGCTTGAGAGGAGGGAGCAATTACATCACACATTAGGTCTTAACTGAGGGTCCCATGTCAGAGTCCAGGGCCATGCCCCCTTTCACCGGCTTTTAGAGCACGGGGGCTTGGTCTGTGCTAGACATTTAAAGAGGAATGGTTGTAGCCTGCTAAGCCTCTTTGCTGGCTAAACATGGCACCCTCTACAGGCCAGATTTATTTATTTATTTATACCTTCGGCTTATATATCTCCTGACCCCGAAGGGTCTCTGGGTGGTTTACATAGTGGTTCTAACCAACCAATTAACCTAACTAGGGCCACATTGTCTACAGGGTGGTGACTGCCTACCAGCACCCCGGGCTAGTTGTCATCCGGCTTCCTTCCGCGGCTTCAGATATTGGCATCCTGGTGCTCTTTCTGGAGCCGATCTTCCCCGAGCAGCTTCCTCCGGCAGGTCTCGTCTTGGCGCGTGGTTCTGTGTTGGCTGCAGTTCCAGCTACTGTCCACAGGTGGCTCCGCCGCACTGCGCCGCATGTCACCACGCTCTCCAAGGCTCCACTTTCTCTGGGCTCTGCCTCTGCCTTCGCCTCCGACATTGCTTCACTGATCGCCAGGAACTGCTCCGCTTGCTGCCGCCGCCAAACCCTCTACCTTACAGGGAGGAGGGGTGCCCTCTGCCACCTAGGGCAGGTACCCACTTTATCTACTTGCATTTATGATGCTTTCGAACTGCTGGGTGGACGGGAGCTGGGATGTGGGCCGGGAGCTCACCCCGACCACGGTGGGTTTCGAACAGCTGTAATGGCTGTTCATTAATGTTACTTTGCAGGTGTTCTTACTCCCTGCGCCACAGATGGTGACACCTCTCCAATGCAGACAATGATGTATGGCTAAATGATCTCAGAGCTGGTGCATATATTGCATCTTCCTTTGATCTGTTAGTCAGATCAAAGGAAGATGCAATATATAAAGGATCAGATAAGCTAGGCTGTCTGACAGTGGCATTTAGACGCTGGGCTGGGGAACAGACAGTTATACAGGGTGGATTCCCTATGTGAGCCTTAAAAAAGGATCCCATTAAAGGGCTTAGAGGCCAAGAGATATAGCAACCACATCTGGGGCCAGCATGCTGACCATGCTCTGTAGAGGATGGTGACAGGCATAAATCGTGGCTTCTACCACTTTTTGCCTTATAACTGCTTCTCTTTATCTGGTTATCCTTAAAAGGTGGATTGGGGGTTTCATTGCCAGCAATCAGGCTATAAGTGGCACCTGTTGTCCCCCATCCATGCTGCACCAAGATCTGAAGAACCTGTAATCAATAAAGTTGTATCCTGACTTTACCCACTGGTGTATCTGTGTTGTCCTTCTCTCTTCTGGCTTGTCTCCAGGTGCACTTCTGACTTGGTATACACCCATGCACCTTGTACCATCAAACAGATGATCAGTAGTGTGAGTTCTATCAGTTACGTATTGTTAACAGGACATATGTGGAAGAATTGAGTTCTTGGACTTTAAAATTCAGATCCAGCTCTCAGCTTCCCATTTAATAAGCAATAGTCCTGATGTCAGAGTTGATCCTCAGTTAAGTGTGTGTCAGTGGAGAGCATTCCTCAAATGTTGCCATAGATAGCAACTTTCTTTGCTCCATTCTTGTACTTGGGTCTCAGTTGTTAAGATTTTAATCTGTTGTCTGCTCTTTCAAGAAGTAACAGATTTAATCATTCAGTGGTATCTCTCCTTATTTTACAGACTGATTAATGCATTTCATGTTAGTTAAATTATTTTTACAATGGTATGATTGTCATTGGTTTCAGTAGGATTTGCTTATATTTGTAATATGTTCCTTGAATGAACAAACAAAAATACACTTTTCCAAACTGTTGCTTCCATGTGGAAACTTTGCTCTGGAGTAGGATTTTCTGGCGCATTCACATGACTCTATCTCCTATTATTCACTTTCTGGGTTTTCCCTGCTTTGTTGTGATCATTCCCAAACCTGGTTTGATTAAATCTTTTTGGAAAGATCTCAAAGTACCTTTGCTCAGTGTGTGGATAGGAAGATGCACATTTTTCAAGGTCTCCCCCATTTGGCTTGCTTTTGTGACTGCCATCCCCCACCCCTTGCAACCACAGGGCTTTTTAAAAATTGGTAATTGCTTTTGCACTAGTGCATAATAATGATCACCCCAAATCTACTAGTTCCTCTGAATCACCAGCTCTATCTCACACATACTGTTGCACTCAGGGCAGAGCCTGGCACTTTTACTTTTCCAAGGGTTTCCGGGATGCACAAATACAACATTAACAAGTAAGACAGAATGCAAGAGCACGGTCTACTAACCACTCCAGAGTCAGAGATCCAAAGGTTCAGTCCAAATGTCAGGGGGAAAGGAGAGTCTGTAGTTCAGGATCCAAGGCTTGGAAGCCAGGGCAGGATACAGGTTCTCGGTCTCCAGCTAGGAAACTAAGCACAGGTTAAACAGGACAGGGTACAAGGTAGCATGCTGTTCACTGAGTAAGTCAACTCACAGAGGGGATTGCAAGCAAAGTTGCTTCCCCATCAAGCCTTATTCAGCATGTTCCTTTTAACTGCCTCCTTTTGCTGACTCATCCCAAAAGCTCAGGTGTCATTTCTTCCCAGTGGAGTCCTCATCCTCCAGGTGTAGGTTCTCGCTGCTTTCTATTAGCATCTCAGTCCTGATCCTGTAAAAACTCTGATTGCAGCTGTGCCACTAGGTGAGTGCTCCATCTTATCTCCAAAGCTGTCAAGCACTCCTTCCTTCTTCTGTGCTCTACTGGTTCAGGAGAACCCGGTGGAGACTGAGGCTCTGGCCTCTGCATCCTTTCTCTCATCTCCTACCAAAATGAGCAGCCTAGCTGTGGCTGGGAAGCATTCTCACTTCCTGATGCTTCTACTGTTGGGCCTGTTTCTCAACCCACCTGCTTGGGTGGGTATTCTCTAGCACCTTTTTGTATTTATTTTATTTATTTATTATCAAATTTATACCCCGCCCTACCTAGCCAACGGCGGCTCACAGAATGAATAAAACCACAATAAATAATTTAAGCATAAAACAATTCAACATTAAAAAGGTGCTACCAAATTGACATTTCAAAGTTGGATTTACATTAAGTTTAAGATGGCAGTCGGCTTTCATTGTACCGTCCTAGTGATCAACCCAGATCTAACATTGTGCAGCTAGCATAGGTTGTTCAGGAAGCATGGTTCTCCCTCGGGGCAGCTCCTAATTGAAAGCCTGGTGGAAGAGCTCCATCTTGCGGGCCCTGCAGAACTGCATAAGGTCCCACAGGGCCCTGATCTCTTCTGGGAGCTCATTCCACCAGAGAGGAGCCACCACCAAAAAAGCCCTAGCCCTGGTTGTCGCCAGCCTGGCATCCTTTGGTCCAGGAAGGGTCAGTTGATGTTGGGACCCTGATTGCAGTGCTCTCTGGGGAGCATATGGGGGAAGGCGGTCCCTCAGGTATGTAGGTCCCTGACCATATAGGGCTTTAAAGGTAAGAACCAACACCTTGAACCGAATCTGGTATGCTATCGGTAGTCAGTGCAATGCCTTCAGCACAAGCTTAATATGCTCCCGCATTGGGTGGCCCATTAGAAGCCTGGCTGCAGCATTTTGCACCAGCTTTAGCTTCTGGATTTGCGACAAGGGCAGCCCCATGTAGAGAGCATTACAGTAGTCCAATCTCAAGGTGACCATTGCATGGATCACTGTTGCCAAGTCGTTGCGTTCAAGGAAGGGAACTAACTGCCTAATCAGACAAAGATGGTAAAAGGCCGACTTGGCAATGGCTGCTACCTGGGCCTTCATTGTTAAGGAGGCATCCAAGAGCACTCCCAAGCTCCTAACCTCTGGTGCTGGCACCAACGGAGCCTCATTGAAGGTCGGGAGTGGGATCCCTACCCTTGGTCCGCTCTGACTCAAGCACAGAACCTCCGTCTTCATTTTATTCAGTTTCAGTTGGCTCAGCCTAAGCCATCCAGCCACGTCTTGTAACACCCAGTCTAGATGTTCTGGTTTGGAGCCAGCAACAGATAGAGCTGGGTATAATCAACGTATTGGTGACATCCCAGCCCATGTCTCCATGCAATCTAGGCAAGGGGGCGCATGCAGTTGTTAAACAGCATCAGGGACAGCACCACCCCTTGTGGCACTCAACAATCCAGTGGGTACCTTCAGGAGAGCTGTTCCCCTAGTGCCACCCTTTGTCCCCGACCTTGGAGGAAGGAAGCGAGCCACTGCAAGGCAAGCCCCTGAATTCCAGTGTCAGCGAGATGGTGGATCAGTAGCTGATGGTCGACCATGTCGAACACAGCCAACAGATCCAACAGCAACAGCACTGCTGATCCGCCCCGATCCAGATGCCTCCAGAGATCTTCTGTGAGGGCAACCAGTGCTGTCTCTGTCCCATGACCCGGGTGAAAGCTGGACTGGAAGGGATTTGTATATTATCTGTTACAGATATATTAGGGGTTCCAGGTCCTTCCTGGCCACTGGCATGGTATGATATAATTTAATTGTCTTTAATGAAAATGGCTAGAGACTTTTTACAAAATAAAAGCTGGGAATTCAGACAAACTGGTAATTTGGGGCAATAGATCATTATGATGTGCTCTAGCAATCTAGCAATTTTTAAAAGCCTTATGGTGGGGGTGAGGGAACAGTGGCAAGTGGGGGGACTGAGGCAAGGAAAGTGTGGAGAAAACTATGTAAATTCACTGTTGCTGCTTCAAATGCCTTTGCAATAGTGACAAGAACTACAAAGAAAATGAACCTAGAATAAATACAGAAGTAGTTTTTTAAAGAAGCATCTTCTCTGTTATGCTTGATAGGAGTTCTTTTTTAAGTTGCTTTTTTCTGTTTCTGAACAGCTAAAACATGTGAAAGAACGGATTGGTGATGATGTTCAAGATGAAACGCTCTTGCTTTGCCTTGGCTTGACTTCAGGAGCTGGCCGATTGATCTTTGGGAGAATTGCAGATTATGTTCCCGGTGCAAAAAAGATTTATCTACAGGTACAACTATTCCAAAATTGCCTTAACAAATGGAAATAATACAGTACTAAAGGCTTAAATCCTATTTGTGCGATCTCCTTCTCTACATCCCTATAAGAATATTGTTATACAGAATATGGTATGTGCATGTACTTCTCAAAGATTTAAAACATATTACACAATTTACTTGACACATGATGCCGCTCTAATCTAGGGTTATCAGGTGTCTGGTTTTGAATGTTCTGTCCAGTAAAAACTTTGAGAAAATACTGGACACATAAGTGCCTAATATTTTCTAGTTAAGTCCCAAGCAGTCCTGGGAATGCTGAGGCTGAGTTTGCTTGATGTAGAGGGTCTAGCTGGGAGAGGCCTACAACATGTCCCTGTGACTGACAGAACCTCCTCAGGCAGCACACACACCCCGGTAGCATTGCCATTGCCAGGGAGCCAAGCAAGCAGAGATGGGCTGGGAAGTACTCAGAGAAAGAAACTAGATGGGGTCCTCCTCACTGGCTAGCCCTACCCTTCTCCACCACCCTTCATGCTGCAGGTAGACGGTTCTGCACAAAGTGGGGAGGGACAACCTGGAGTCAAAGCAGCACGGCAGTGGTGTTTTCTGGGCAAGTGCTTGGACTTGTCTCTCATGCTTCCATCTTCTGTGGCCTGGCCAGTCCCCCCATCTCCTGCCACAGGTTGGGCCTGTCCAGTGGACTCCCTTTACTCTGGCCACAAGAGCCAGGGGCTGCTGCAGTCACCTTCCCCTCCCCGGCACAGTTCTGCCAATGCTGAATAAGGAGTGGCAAGGGTCCGTGCTGAAGGCTAATAAGGATAGTTGGTGGGAGTGATTTGCAAATACTCCCCCAATACATTCACAGAAAATATCTCAGGCCTGGAGGGAGGATAGATGGTGCAGTTCAGTAACTCTGCCCATGTAGAGCTTCAGAGAAAGTGTGTGTGTGTGGTGGGGTAGATGGTGCAGTTCTAAATCTCTGTCTTGTTAGAGGTTCAGGGAAAGCTCCCCTCCTCTCCCAGCTGGGGAAATTGATCCCTGAGCTTTGGCTAAGATAAGATAGACGAAGCAGTCCCAGTTTGCAAAGGAGGGTGCCAAACAGGGGGAGAGGCAGCTTAGGCTGATGCAGGGGGCTCCTCCCAAAACCAAACCTTCTCCCACCTTCTTCAGCCCCTTCATGGTGTGCAGGAAATGTGCCTGTTGTTCTCTATCTATAAATCACTAAGGGACCACCCCACCACCGTACTTCTTTGAATATTTGGCCAAGTTTGACAACTGTAAAAAACTTCCCCCTTCCCTTTCTTGGTACTGGAACAAAGATGAACTTTTACAGATTAATGTGAACAATCTAATGTAAAATTTAAAGTATAAACTGTCATTAATACACTTCCCATATAGGATTTCCAACCTCCATGTAGGGCCTGGGGATCTCAGCTTGGAGTTCAACTCTATTCCCAATTTAGGGTTGCCAGCTCCAGGTTAGTAAAGGAAAACACCTAGTCTACAAAGTATGAAGATCCCGTTCCTCATAAATGAATTAATGGGCAGTGCTGTAGAGGGAAGAGATTGCCTTGCTGATGTGTTATGACTTTTTCTTGTTTTTAAAGGGTTCCATTGGTCTTGTTTCACTTGGGAGGGTTTAGCCTCTTCAGAATTCCCCAGTGAACCATAACCTTTCTCCTTCATTATTTGTGACTGTTAGTATCCCAGCAGAGACCAATGGCATGTATTTTGTGATGTAACTTCCCTAATAAATGAAGTCTGCATTTATCTTATCAATTAAAAAATCATCAATAATGAGTATATAATATTAAGAAGCCTGAATCTCATTTCTGTATTCTGTGCATTTGCCAATGTGATGTAACACTTAAACTTTCCCTTCCTGATGTGTAGGTGATCTCATTTTTCTTCATTGGCCTGATGTCTATGATGATTCCACTATGCTATTCCTTTGGAAGTCTCATTGCGGTCTGCCTCTTCATGGGTATCTTTGATGGCTGCTTTATTTGCATTATGGCACCTATTGCTTTTGAGCTAGTTGGTGCAAAGGATGTTTCTCAGGCAATTGGATTCCTCTTGGGTTTTATGTCTATACCAATGACAGTTGGTCCACCTGTTGCAGGTAAGGATAAAGACTGTTTCTTTAACTGCTTACCACCAAAGTGTAATGTAAGTTTATGTCTCTTCTTAAGTCAATGATTAAGCTTGTTGAGGCTTATTTATTATGCTCCTATAGTGTTTGTTCACCAGGAATTGTAGGCATGCTCAAACATTTGTATCCCAGATAGAAATTGGTGGCTTTCCACTTGGAGTTATAAATAAAATTATTTTCTTCCTAGTGCAATTAAACAGGCCTCAACCTAGGTTTCTCTAATCAAAATAGAACCTACTGAGGAACTCATAGCTGGCTACTATGGAATTTAGTAGTCACATTCAACTGAAGTGCTATATCTTATTTTTCTCTTAAAGATAAATGTTGACTGAAATGGACAAACTGCTAATTGACACAGTACTGACCGAAAGAAAAAATAATTCAAAAAATAAAAGCGCTCAAAGACTTAATTTTTAGAATATTAAATTTTTGTTGCCTCAGAGTTAATTCCCTCCACATTGGTGTTGCATCAACATTCAGATGTGGCAGACCTTTGGAATGAGTTGCCCATCGGATCCTCAAAAAACAAGCTGAGTTAAAATGGTGTGGGAATGCTTCAATAAGTGCTTGGTTGTAAAGGCTTCTGATGGAACCTAGTATGGCAAATTATCTAAATTTGATGGGAACAAACTATTTAGCATTTTGTAGGACCATAGCCTGGAAGGAAAAAAGAAAGCAGGAAAGATGTGTTATTTATCTTTACATCTGTATCCCATGATGATATACTCAAGCTCGCTGACATAGGATTCCCAGAAAATCTTCCATGGAGGCATTAAACAGAAACCAGTCCTATTTATTTTAATTTGGGTGGTTGCAGCATGTTCCTCTAATCTTACCCTCAGACTATTGTTACTGAAGTATGTGATATTCAGACACCGTTCACATGGTGAATTTGCCACGGGAGAGCCACGATGCCGGGCGGATTATCCGTGTGCGATCACACCACCACATCTGGCAAGTGTAGTGCACCCATGGCTTCCTGCCGAAAACCTGCAGTTAAAAAGTATCTGCTAACAAGTACTAGCAACCGGTTTGCCATGGGCTGCTGATGGACTTGGTTGATGTGATTGCGCCGGCACACGGCTCTTCCCTCCGGCCGTCGTCTTTGCCGTGGGCACCAACTGCCAAAACTTCACTGCACCGCCGTCACGTTTGATCGCTTAATCGCAGATCAAACTGCGATGGCGCAAATAGCCACGCCTCCCCCCCCCACGTTATCCGGCCCGTGTGACTGGAGCCTCAATATGCTTTCAGCAGTGGCTGGTGCTAGCATTGGTAAAGCCAAAGCACAATGAACCATGCCCCATGAAATTGGCATAGTTCTTCATCTACGCTCTCTGCTACTCTTCTTATGCTCTAGGGACTAGCAGGAGTGAAAGATTAAAACTGCAGAATGAAGAAGAGTGGGTTTGCTTTTAGTGGGAGAGGGGTAAGACTTTTACTTCTAGGCGTAAAACCCAGAATTGGTTCTGTCTTCCACAATTTTTCCCCACTCAAATTTTTTAAAATCAAGATCAGCCGTTTTTTAAATGATGACACCTCACTTACATATAGTATCTTAATATTACAGTAATCTATGAATGAATTTTATTGTTACGGCGCTTAGACAGCAATATACAGTAATCTAGGCTGGTCGATTATTATGATTGTAATTAGCATTGTAGTATCTCCATCTGTCACTAAGCATGATGAAAATCCAATTTAAGGGTGTGTGTTTCTTTGTATCTTGACAATAATTATTTTATTTTCTCTGTAGGTATACTGCGAGATTACCTAGGTACTTATGATGTAGCATTCTACCTAGCAGGAATTCCCCCTATTGTTGGAGGAGTTGTGCTGTGTTTCATTCCTTGGGTGCATGCAAAAGAGAAAGCCAAAGAACAAGCTAGACCTGTAAATGGAGAAACTATGGAGAAAATGTTGGAAATCAGAAATGCAGCCATGTTGGACTCAGCTGAAAAAAACAGCAAAGAATTTGAAACTGTTATTTAATTGTTCATATGTTTTTTCTACCAGATCAAACCTATTTTTATAAGGACTAGCTTTCTGTTTGTAAACTGAAGTACCATATGATTGTACTTGAAAGCAAAGACCTGATAAAACTGTCGAAGTAATAGTGATATTTAAAACCAAACTTCTAACAGTAATTAATGCTTTTTTAAATTGTGCTTGATTCAGGTTTCAGAACACATTTCCCTATTTTATACAGGTTTGTAGTACCAAAGTATACTTGCCCTCTGTGTGAGTATTGAAGAATACTTGCCCCTACTTGATTCAGGTTGCAGAATACATTTCCCTATCCTATACAGGTTTGTAGTATCAAGCTATACTTGCCCTCTGTGTGAGCACACATAAGAACTGTGTTTTGGGAAGGGGTGTTTGTTGTTTTTACTGCATTTCTGGAACCTGAAAGGTTCTGCCTACCTATTAAAGGATCTTTACAATTTTCTTCAATAACCTTCTGATCCATCCAGTGCCACTACTTTAATTTATACTTAATTTTTAGTATATTATGAATGTTTTAAAAATTTTCATTATTTTAAGCGTGTGTGCATATTTAGAGCTTTCAAGCTGCTCTACAACTTAATCCTATGCTGAGTTAGGTGTGTGTAAACCTATTGATTTTAGTGAGTTAAGGCACTGCACAGGCTTGCAGCCTTAAATCGCAATTTGGAATCCTGGTTTGTAGAACTGGAAGAAACCATAGTTTGTGGTGCAGATGTAACAACACACTGTGGCTTGCCACAAAAGAGGAAGTCTTTTAAATTAAATTGCTGTATGTGGGGGGAAGGCTGGGGGGGCAGGTAGAAAGAATGAAGAATGGGTGTACAAATCCAAGGGTCCTATAGGCTTGTTTACAACTGAATCATGTTCAGTCCTTCAGTAAACCATTGTTATAAATTAGGCTACATAATTTCATAATGCAGTACTGATACTTTCTATATATCGATAACGATACCATATCTTCAATTGCTTAATTCTGCAATTGACCTATTCTTCCATATATCTTCACATTTTGAAGGTGGACTGCATTGGGGAAATATAATGGGGTGCTTCTTTGAATGTATTACAGTAATTAAAGTGCTTATTCATGTGTGTGTGTGTATGTGTGTGTGTAAAGGAATATACTCCTCCCCCAAAGTCTATTCCTGTATCTTATTTTAGTACCTAGGTATTACATTTCAAGCACTTATTTTTAATAAGCTGCCTGTAATGTTAAACCATATCTGTTAAACCATATCTAATATGAATGGTTCAGTGAAATTAGGTTTTTTTAATCTGACATATTTCTGTTTGGCTCACAGTACTGTAAAGTTAAACTTTACATCAATTTTAATTTCAAATCTAAGGGTATATTCAAGATTACAGTAACATTATTCTGGTTTCAAGCCTAACCTGTGTATACAGGTTCTCCTGCAGTAGCACAGTTCCAGGAAACAAGATAGCCTGGCTCTCTCTCTGTTCTCCATGTACACAATAGCAGTTCTGAAGATGAAGGAATAAAGATAAATGCTGAGGCCAATATAGGAACATACATATTTTGCTCGTTGTGTTTTTCTCAGTGGAAAACCTTGGTAAATGCTCCTTGGTAAATGCTCCACTACCTGCTATTGTATTCTGTGTACCTCTTTTTTTTATGCTTCCCTCATTATCTGTGGGTTAGAACTTAGCACCCTCTCTTGGAAAGAGCTTCATCTTCCACTCAGTGGCCTGAAAACATCCTGCCACAGGAGCTTTAGTCTCTTTCTAGCTTCTACCCAGTAAATATCCAATACACCTTTCTCATTAGGTAGACTAACAGAAAGGAGATAAAATGGGGAAACAACGTACTTCTGTTAATGGAGGGGAGGGAAATCCATTCAGAGATCCTTTTAGGAGACAGAAGGCACAAGGCTTTTCTGGGGGGGATTCTAAGCAGCTTGTAGAAAGTTTCTGCTTAGTAAGCTGCTGTCCGATTGCTTGATCACTATTGGTGACAAGTTGATTGCCATGCTTTCTACATAGTGGTGTAGGTGTGTGAGACATCGCTGATGTATAAGGTTGTTGGTCACAGCATGACAACCAGTGGGAGATGGGGGAAGGAGGGTACTTACTGCAGAGGAGGGCAACCTTCACCACCACGTGATGATGTCACTTCCAGCGTGACCTAGAAGCACTCTCATTGCACTGGGGTGATGCTCTAGCACTTTCCCCCAAACTGTATGGAGTTTCTCAGCAAGTGCTAGAGCATCACCATAGTGGGATGATGGCACTTCCGGGTTGCACCAGAAGTGATGTCATTTTGTGGCGATGAAGATCTCCACTAGCCCCATATTGCTGGCCTGTTTCTGCCTGCCAACCAGATGAGTGTCAGCGGGCATTGACAGCAATTACCAGGAATTTGCCCACCATTAGTGGGCACCTGGTAAGCCTACTGTTGGAAGATCTTGTTTTGAGAAACAGTTGGGAGAGAAAATGGCCTAGTCAACCCTATAAAGTACTTCAGACAGCAATAGTATGGTAAACATGCAGAATGTTGGGTACAGTAACTTGGAAAATGTTTGTTGGAAATAGTTTAAAATATTTCATTGAGGCATTATAACACGTCTCTTTCATTTTTTCATGTTTTCAGTAGCTAATATCTTGTTCCTACTGCAATCCTAATGTATGGTTTACTTCATACAGAAAATTGTGCAGGAATATGATCCAATAAAACAACATTTTTATTTGCATGGGAAATAAACCTTGACATTCCCATTTGCAGAGCAGAAACAGCTGATATATTTCCAGACACCCTGTCAGTTTGACAGAAGAAACTAAACAGATGCTTTTCACTACTTGCCATAAAATATTAGAATCCTGTTTGGATTTCAAAAGAGGCTCAGAAGTAAGACTGGATTTATATTCAGACAAATTGAATCAAAGAGAGTTGGTTTTGAATTTCTATCCTTCAGTTTATTGGATGAAATAGTAAAATAAACTGTAAGAACTGAGAAACAAGAATACTAAACCTGGACTTGATTCACATTAGTTTGGTAGCATGGCAGCCACAGCAGGAAACAGATTTATGCTATTTGTTTGACATGGGCTGCGGTCACACGCAACATTAGCCACGCAAGAGATACGGAAGACAAGCGGAGTTTCCGGTCGCGATCTCACCAGCACATCTGGGAAGCGTAGCGCTTCGTGGCACAACTGAGGCTTCCTGCCGAAAAAGCGCAGCAAAAAACTAGTACCTTGGAGGTACTAGTTTCCGGAAACTGCGGGGCAAGGGCGGGCGTCTGATCGCGTTTCCGGTGGCATCCGGCGCCCGCCCATGTCCCCTTGCGGAAAAGGGGTTTTTTCCCCCCACGTCTCCGTGGATGCGCACACGCACCCAACGGAGCATGCGCATTCGTAGTGTACACAAAAAAAGAAAACCAGTTCGCCGCGCCGCGCGCTTCTTCATTGCGCGCAGGCGTGTGTTGTGATCGGCACCTCTCCCTTGCCATGGAACCTCCACAGTACCTCCACAGAACCTCCACAGTAGGTCTGATCGCTTTACTGCATGTTAGTTTGCCCCGGGGCAAACAGCCACACTTCTCCTCTGCAGTTTCCTGCCCGTGTGGCAGGGGCCATGGTTCCCCATACTTTTGTGCCTGCTTTGTTTCACACAAATGGTCTCCCAGCTTGAACTATGCCCATGGTTTTCTGGTTTTAGCAACTGGCAACCATACCACAAAGACACAAACCAACTTTTGTGGCAGGCAGTCTAGCTTAAGACATGTGTGGCTGAAGTCTTTAAACTTGTTTGAGTGTACATGCTTTCAACTAGTGTAGTAATTCAAATACTTGCATAAAGTAGTCTGGGTTCCAGACTTCTAAAATCTGCAGTATTAGAAAGCTATTAAATGAATATGTAAATATCTTGTTCATGGTGCTAAAATTGTTATAATTTGAGCCTCAAATGAGTAATTTTTATGGACAAAAGGTGATATCAAAGTGTAAGCAATCCAAAAACATTTTTCTAAGCATATGTTTGTGTTCACATAGTTGTCATCTTGTTTAGAGTGGGTGTTACAATGTTAGTAGTAATCAGATGAATAGACATCTTCAAGCTCCTATACTGAATTGTGGCTTCTGTGTACTAAAATTATGGTTGGTTTTGAATGATTATCTGGAGTGATGGGGTGACAGCAGAATCTCAACACAAATGATAACTTGAGCAATGGAATGTTATATTTAAGGACAGGATCATAATTGATTTTGAATACATTGTCTTTCCCAACTATTACAATTTTTAAAAAATCTTTAATCTGTGTTTGATCAATATTTAGAATGTTTTACAAAAGCTTTCGTTAATTGTGAAAAAATTCATTTAAAATCACTGAGAATGCTGGTTTATATTTATATTAAACTTCAATAAATGCATTATCTTGGCATAACATTTATACATGAAAATTATACTTACTGAGAGAGGTGTGCACACAGAACAAAGTAAGCATGTTGCCATCGCACCCAACCCCCCAGTGCCCAATTGTCTGATTCTACAAATAAATACATAATAGTATAGAACTTGTGTGACATTTGAGGGTAAATATACTTTTTCAGTGTAAAAATCATAATACTATGAAAAGTTTCAATTTATAAGATAGAAAATGAATTAAAAATAAATATGCAGCTTATTTTGCACCTCTTTCTAAAGGCATTATTTTATTTTATTTTATTTACAATACTTATATTCTGCCCTCATGAGGGCCACCAAAGTGGCTAACAATTTAAAATATACATGATAAAATCACATTTAAAAACCATTAAAAACAATCCACCAACATGCATCATTAAAATAAATTAAACACACAGATGCATATATATGTTTTTGCCATCAAGTCACACCTGACTTATGGGGGACCCCATGGGGTTTTCAAGGCAAGAAACATTCAGAGGTGTTTTGCCATTGCCTGCCTCCACATCATGACCCTGGTACTTCTTGGTGGTGTCCCATCCAAATACTGACCAGGGCTTAGCTTCCAAGATGTGACAAGATAGGGC